AAAGATTTTTTTCATCTCTTTTCCTAGAAATAATAATTGTTTAGAACTGAATTTCTAATAAATTAAAAACTTATTTTGCATTGAGGCGAGGCACTGAAAATATATCCGCTCTTTTTTTTCTGCGAGTGATTTAAGGAACAGCATTAAATATCGTGATTTTTAATGCATCGAATATTAAACTGGTAAGAGCTAGTCAATTCAGCAGCGTAGCCAGGAGATGTGATTGAATGAAATTTTCTTTATTTGACCCGGTTTCTAGGGCTTCCCTAGCTAGGTCTAGTCTTACTTACTTACTTCCTTGGCTGAGGCGCACGTACAGAGATTGTTTAAAGATAGCTCTATCCTTCGAGACCTGCTGCCAGTTCGGGATATTAAGCACTCTAGCGTCCTTATCAATACATCCAATGAAAGGTGTTCTTTGGTCTTCCTGAAGATCTCTTGTCATCCATAAAGTCTGCAACTGTTAAGGTCTAGTCTTAGACAAACTTTATTGTAATCCTAGATTGAAGTAAAATCAATTCTGTTCCTAGGTTAAGGTGCTTAGCTTACTTACTTACTTACTTTGCTGGTCGTACAGATCAATTGTGATCCATAACTTCCCTTAACCGTTCCTAAAAACTAGCTCTATCACTGGCTACCGTCTGACAATTGCCGATTCCAAATGCTAAAGCAGGTGCTCAGCGTAGCCCTTAAAAATAGCTTTACTTGACCATTAATGTGTCGTCAAACCTTAAAAATTGTAGTCAATGTGCTGCAAGACAAAAATAGTTTGAGCAAAAACATTGCCTTAATTGGTACAATAATTAAATTTCATCACATGCTGAACATTGTAATTACAACACAATTATTGAATATTGCAAAATTGATCAGAAATTTCGATTTGGATAAAATTTCATTTCCTGAATTAAATATCAGCAATAAATTGAACAGGCTCTGAATTCATACTCTTATCATGCAACACAGTCAACAGCAATCACTGTACGACTCATTCATAGAAGAAAAAAATTCATTGATTGCTCTGAGACTTCATCATGATTCATGAATGAACGGACTGACTATATATATAAAAAAAATTAATATTACAAAATGAAAAGTCGTGTCAGTGTTTAGTTAATTAATTTCTTTCCATAGCTATAGAGTAGGCAATTGTAAATTTATTGCAAGGAAATTCATCACATAATTTGCACGCTTTCACAATTTCCCTTCTATTTCTTGTATTTACATTAAAAAGATTTTATTTCATTCCAAACCCATCTAAGCTTGAATCGAAGAAAGAGAAGTTATAGAAATAATGTTGTAAATTGAATCGAAAGTTTAAGCACAGAGCTAGTAAGTAAGCAAGCAGAATGAAACATGAAATATTAATAATGTCAGCTCATTTAAGCTTGTAAGCGAATAATACAAGACACTACATGACAGAATTCCGAACTTTACGTTCGAATGTAAAAGACAAGTCAAGACTAATCGTCGCCAGTGTACTGCAACTAACTGCATTGACTTGGTAAAAAAATTATTCATGAACAGGTTTGTCTCTCTTCATATATGAATACATTAATGTATTATTTGCAGCGTATATCATGCTTTTATATCTTTTATGATTATGACGCTGAAGGTTCTTGACAGTGAGGAAATGAGAATAGGATTTTATGGAGCGCATCACTGTTGTTTTAGCTTCGTCACTTTTGCCGTCAATTATAGAGATAAATCTTCAGAACCACCTCCTTAATTTGTGTCCATAAGTTTCTAAAGTAATTTCTTAAACATTCGAATTATGTCTTAATCAATAATAATAATAATAATGTGTGAAGGGCCCAGCCTTTCAAGTGGAGGCACTGCGATTCAAATTAGAACAGAATCTATTGTACCACACCCTTTAGACCTGCAGTTTATAGTGGGATCTGAACCACTTGCAATGTCTTAATCAAGTCCAGTACAAAAATCTTAACAGTCAGCCACTCATAATTACAAAAAAATTACATCACATCCTCAAAAATTGCATCCAAAAAGCCACTGTGTGGCATCATAAATTTAACTTCTTTATATTTTTTCCAGTGATCTCATTCAATTAAATTTATTCAGCAGCAAAGTCCTTTAAAGCGATACATTCATGATAAGCGGTAGCGAATAAAAGACACATTTAAACAGACTTTAATAATACTGTATTGGGAGTCGTGGATTAATGATGGACATAGGGAAATGAGGGGTCTGTCTCTGTGTGATACATCTTTTAATTTTAGAAGGTCTATAAATTCCAATGTTACATCATTTACAAACGATCCTACATGAAATACATACTTCACAATGGGAGTCATGCTTGCTTTGATTTAAGAATTATGCTTTACGATGTTTGCTCAATTTTTTTTACTTCCATTCTCTTGACAAAATCATATAACTTTTTCTATTGCCACAAATATATCCGCACACCATGTATTCATTCAATTTCATGTTCGGCAACGTTGACTAGTTCCTCTGTTTTGCTTTTTGTTTTGTACGGAATAATAAAGACGGTGATAAGATTTGCATGCTAGAAATACCAGAAAGAAAGGAAAGAGTTTTTTTTTTAAAATTCATTCATTCATTTTTGCCGTTTTCTACGAGACTGCATGAGATTTATGAGACACACGATGAACATAACGAGAAGTATGGGATTCGCAAAATCATAACACATGATGATGAAAACTGGATTTTTCATGCGTGTTTTCACTCAAACTGTTGTGTGTAATGGAATTTATGCCTCATAAAGGCTGAGATTATTTCTTTATTTTCCTAACACGAAATCTCCCTAAAAATAACAAAGCCGCGTCGTTATTGCTTTATGCAAAAGAATTTGTTGTTGACTATACTGAATGTAAGAACATATTTAGAGCATAAAAATACATGAATGAGTTTTTTCAACGGATTATTTTTTAAATCTTTTAAGAACACTACAAATGTTTTGAAGAAATTGTGGGGTTTTAATATTCAAAATTTGATTTTAATCATTGAAATTCGAATTTTAAATGACAGTTAAAAATCAAATTTAATTAAACCGTTAAAATTCAAAATTTCCTTATCAGTTTGAAAATTTAGATTAAAAGCTATTCAACTTCACAATCTTGTCACAATCTGTTCCAGCTATAAAAATCCATTAAAACTTGCTCAGATTAACAATGCAAAAATATTTTTTCCGAGCATAATCTCGATAGCTAAAAGCATGAAAATATTTTTTTGCTCATATTTTAATAAAAGAAAAACTTTAATTTTGTGGATAAAACCGCTCTGCTTACCTGCTTACTTTCCATGAATAAATTTTGTTACAACAAACACCGAGTAAGAGGATGAAAATAGGTCATACAAATGCTGGTTGAATGCTGGAAAAAAAGAAGTGTATAATTGCTATAGTTTGGTTAATTCCGCTGCATTTTACTGATTTTTTTTTACGTTTAATAATTTAAATCCCATATTTACTGTGGCAGGCAGGGGTGTAGTCAAAAACTGTAATATGGCAAAGGGGGTTGTCCAGCCAAAAAATCATGAAAATTAAAGATCAAAATCAATTTTGGGGGGGGGGGGGTGTCAATTTTAAACGCTTTTATTCGATTTAATCGATTTTTCGATCACTCCTTTTTATTGACATCATTTATAAACGACCCCCAACGAGACTTTCTGAATGCTGTACCTACATGAAGTCATTTAAAATGCAACAAAATATGCAAGATGTAAGCAATTAGAAGATAAGACATTAAATCCCCACATCGTGCCACAACATTCAGCTACGATAGTTCGGAACAAGACTGAAAATGGAATTTTTGCAATGACGAGGAAAATTAAATATTCAAAGCGTGCAACGAGTGGATAATGATGATGTAATAGATGAAATGTGATTCTACGAAACAAGAAGGAATAAGGCTGTAAACATTGACCATGAGTCAGTCACAATGTGCAAAATGTTATTGCATTGAAATTTAAAAATCTATTTTTGGGTTCACAATCACATCATTTAATACATGTGGGGATATATAAATAATATTTTTATGAAGACGTATGGCAGCAGCCTGTTGAGTAATAATGAATTTATCACTTTATGACATCAAATCCATTGCAAGCTCAATGATTAGTCACAGGGAGAATCTATTTTCATTTAAAGGCGCCATTTGGATCATCAAGTTTGGTTATTTACACAAGAGTGTGTGTATCCATTCCTACCTGCTTGTACAAACATGAGGACTATCGATTAGATAAATTTACAGACTGAATGTTTGAGGTTTTGGCGTCGCTTTGACTTGCTGGGTGGATGTGTGCTAGGATGAAAGCTAGATTCCTTTAAATTAATGCTTCCAAAAAGTCATCATAAGATTTAATCCTAGCTAGCACATACAAATTATGTCTAGGGCGGGAAAAATGCGCAGATGCTTCCCGTTTCCAATTCCTTCTTCAAAATATTTTTTTGGCAATGTGTCGATTTTTTTACGCACATGCTTTGCACTTGTAAAGATTCTCGATCGCTGCTACGTAATATTGACTACTAATATGTGAAGGTCGAGCGTAATTAAGTTGTTAATATAATTGGAAAGTCAATTTTCTGCATTATCAGCACTTTTATTGGTTCCTCAATGTGTTGCGAATTATTTCTGTAAATTATCATAATTTCATTTATTCTGAATAATGCATGGGATAGAATGTATCTCCTGATTATGGATAGGAGATATTTGGAGATGTAGACTTGAAATGAGGATTTGAGGATAATTTGAACTGAAATTTCCGGCTAAAATCACCAAGTTCAAATTTTGAACTTCTTTTCAAATTTTTAAAAACCCGTTAAAATTCAAATTTTAAAAATGCGTTAACATAATTTAGATGCAATCAATCTTTATTTATTCGATTTATTCTTCGATTCTAAATTCATGCCGTATAAAAAATATAAAAGTAGTTAATTGTATAATCAGGTAGTTTAGCATGTAAATCTTAATAATCTAAAATTTTAATTAATTTAAATGTTAGAAAAAAAAGCAACAAGAGAGAAATTTTGAAATGGATATGCTTCATAATTAGGCTTATTCAAGGCGTCGAGGGATTCTTGATGCAGATGTTCGATCACGAAAGATGGGAATTTTTGATCCTTTTGGTGTTGATGTCAATAAATTGCGGGGTTGTGAGCCTCTAGCTTTATTAGCTAAGCAACTTAACGGTGTCCTGTCATTACCAATTTGTGCATTCATCTTCTTCGGTGGAGTTGAGAACCGATCAAAATTTTCACTGTCGTCCTCAAATATCAAGTTCTTTTCAGCCGGCTTTGACTTTTTCTTTGAATTTGCACTTTCTGTTCCTTTATTTTGTTCATTCTCATCATTGTCTGTTGCTATTTTTGCTGCAATAAGTTTGTCTGTAATTTTCTTCATTAAATTATCTTCAGTCTTTTTCTTTTCATCAGCAATCAATATTGGAGTCCTGGCAATCTCATTTGTTGGGCTTCTTGGATCTGGCAGCTTATTATTGTCCTCAAGTTTGTCAACACTAGCCTCTTCTTTATTAACTGCGTCTACTAAATCTGTATTACTGTTTAATGATTCATGCTCTTCGGCTGTCAAAATGTCTATATCCACAGTGTCATTAAGAGATTCATTCAGGAGTTCTTGATGATTAAATTTACTGGAACTGCCTGTTCTGAATATTTGAATTGGTGTACGAGCTATAAAGGCTGATGGACTTCTTGGATCGAAATTACCGAAAAAGGCATTCTTAAACAGTCCTGCTTTTAAAGCTGTTGGTGATTTATTGTCCTTAACATCCTTTTTTACCTGCTTTTGCTGTGTTTGTGTAATTAAGAAAAATATTTTAGCATGTTTTGTGAAAAATATAAGGAATTAAGCACTTACTTCATAAACCACGATATCGCTTACGTTGCTCTCATTAAGCTGTTGATTATTTGTTGTAATTTTAGTCACTAAATTGCCCATTTTAGCTGGAATCTTTAATTAAACTTCTTTTTTGTCAGATTTGAAAATACGTTACAAAACAATTCAAGTCAGTGATGTTTTTAATCAACTTCTTTTTTCCTCACACTGGCCTTTAAATTTCAAAAGTTCGTTATTTTTATACCTTTTATAATTTTTATTTTCTGTCTATCTTCTCATCAAATTTTGTACTAGAATAGCATGTAGAATAACTATCATACTTGATGTAACTTAATTCTAGTATTTTCCGGAGCAAAACAACAACATTTCAATCAATTCTCATAAAAATTTAATCATATTTCAAAAATGGCTGAAGTAAAGGCAGACGAAGCAGTCAACTCATCATTAGAAGAGGATAATGAGCCAGAAGAGTCAGTTTATTCAGAGCCAAACGGTAAGTTTAAGTCATAAATTGAAGATTTTATTTTCAATAATAAAACAAATTAATTAAATTCATTTTAGCTGCTGTAATCGTATCATTTTTGGAGAATTTCGGACGGGATATATTTCCAGACAATGTTCCAATCATGTCTGACTTAATGGAATGGCTAGCAATGGATGAAATCGCTCCAGAATTGAAAGATATTCACGTAAAATTATTAAGGAAGTTAAAGCGAAGTGTAATTCCTGAAAAGTGGGAAAAGGCTATAATTAAGTTTTGTTATTTCTATGGAAATATGGATGATGCCTTTCAAATCGAGAGATATGGATATTTACATTCAGACTTTAAAGTTAAATTAAGGATCTTAAAAAACTTGCTGGAAATGCAATTTGACGTGAATGTCAAGTTTAAGAACATCGTTAACTCATTGCCAAGCCAAAAACTTCGACTGGAACCGTTTGGACGAGATAAAGAGGGAAATGTGTATTATTGTCATGTAGATGAGAAAGCTAATGTTAAGGTTTATCAAGAGAATACAGACGAAGAGACTTGGAGTGTCGTAGCTAACAATCGAGATGAACTAGCACAGCTAATTGAAGAGCTAAAAGGACACAAACCAATTCGTCCATTCCCAAAAGATCTAATTGACGAAGATTCATCCAGCAACAGTCGATTATCAGCAAAAGAGGAGGTAAAGACTGAAGTTACTGAATTAAAGCCAGCAGAACAAGAATATAGTATTGACAACAGCATTGCGAACGATGAATTTCCATTAAAACAAACAATTAGGCTTATCAAGAAGACAGAAACGCCTATAAAAGAGGAAAGCAACTCAGAGAACAATAAAACGGAACCGGATGAAGAAGAAAAGAGTGAAAAGAGCGATAAGAGCACTGAAAAAGTGGCTACTCAAAAGAAACGCAGACGAAAATGACGTCGGAGGTATTAAAATTAGATAATTAAGTTCTAGGCGGTCGATTAACGGTCGGTAATTCAAATGAACAAAACTGAAAACTGTACAAATGTTTTCATATTTGATATAATTTGTATGGTTTTCAGCATAATTTGTAAGGTTTTTAAACTCGTATGTGCTAAAGCCGTTAATCTCAACATGAGTTCTAAGAATCATTAATTCTCAGTCTAAGGCTGGATTTTGATACTTTTAAATGACTATAGTAAGAATGATGCGACTAAATCGTCTCCTTACAATGAATTTGACACTTATTTATTTAGCGAGATAAGCAATTAATTATAATGATAAGTCTAATTTTTGTAATACAACCATCTAATAAACAATCCATGTTCATTGTGGTGAATATAAATATTTTAGGGGTGCCTGATTGGCTGTTCCTGTATTTACTTTACATTTCAAGATTATTCGTCAAATATTTGCACAAGAACTCAAAGATGATAACAGATAACAGAAAAAGTACATAAACTTTTTGAATGGATCTGATCACACAGCAACTGAAAACATCGCACGATATGTAACATTATTAAGGCACAGTGCCATAGCAGTTTAGTGCTCAAAAAGAGAGCCACACAAAAAAAAATCGATCAAGAAAAAAAAAAGTTGGAAATATTCAATGAAATTAATGTTTTTATCAATTCGTTAAACTGTACGTCGATTAAAATAGTTAATTAAGTTAAGTTTAAGTGATAAAATTGTGAAAAATTCATGGAAAGTGGATTGGAAAAGCAAATCAATGAATTTCTTGAAAAGTTTTCAAATCGTTCTGTGGAAGATGACTTTATGTACAATACAGGCTTAATTAGAGCCCGCAGTAACAATATGGATGATTATGATGCACTGGAAATGACAGGTATATTTAATTTATGTGAACATTCAATGACAAACGATTCTCATCGTTCGTTGCGTGAGATTTTCTTCTTTGTGTCACTCAAATAATTAGCACAATGAATATTGGAACTAGCTATTATAGCCTATTAGTGCGCAATAATTTAAACAATTTAATAATATGCGAAATTTCTATTTGATTAAATGCGAATCGAAAGTTTATTGAACTAAATCCATCATAACAATGCATGTGATACGAATATTAATTAGATTCTGTGCCTATTGTGTCATTAACATGAATAAATAATTAAGGAAATCGTGAAGTAATGAAAATGATTGTCTGTAAGCAATTGTTCTAGTCGAGAACCTTGTGTGTAGTCACAAAAAAAGTGCAAAATATGTTCATACGTGCTATATATATATCAGCTATATGCTGTTCGTGTTTTATCATTAATTGAGAGAAAAAATCATTGAGGTGGTAGTTTTCATTGATTGTGGTGAATTTAAGGAAAAGAGAGTGTATGTGGTGGAATTTTCATACTTGATAAGTGAATTTATGATTGATGTTTTAGGCGCATTTGTCGTGAATTTATGCTTTATTATGGCAAATTGAAATTTAACGAAAATTTTGACTTTGAAAATATTTTAAAACCGCTCAAAAGTTCTGGAATTGCAAGGTTTCTGGGCATTAATGTGTTTAAGAACCTTACAAATGTTATGGAATTGAAAGCCGTTCAAATGTTGTAAAAAGTGATAGAAAGCTGTACAAATGTTTTGGAATTTGTATGGTTTAAGAACAATACAATTGATTAAATTTGTAAGGTTTTCAATAAAACCGTTAATTTCGACATTTATAAGGTTCATAAAAAGTGGTCAATTTTTTAAAAAATATAATCCGTTAACAAGACCAAGCCACAAGACAAACTGAGGACATACTCAACTTTTTCTCCGAATGCACAGCTAAAAACAAAAAAAAAAATTCAATCGAATGAAAAATCATTAATAATAAAGTGAAAAAGTAGCTCAAATTAATTATAATTATAAATTAAATGAACCAAAATAGACCGATGAAGAGGAGCACAGATGATTCCGACGATGAACCATTAAAATCTAGACAGATTAAGGTAGAAATTCGTTTATTGATTTTTTTAGCGGGTTATATACATTGCTATATACCGCTATAATTAATTAGATTACAGTCAATAAAGCTATTGTAATTAACAACTTTTTTTAAGGTGGCAATAAAAGACAAATATTCCAAAGATTATTCACAAACGTCATTAGAATCAACAGCAGAGGAAGTAAGACTAAAATTAGCGAATGGATGTGAATGTAGTGTTTCATGCTTTGATGGATTGGATGCAAATAGTGTTTATCGTCATCGACTGAACATTGCGGAACTGACAAAGAATGAATGTGATTTTTATTTAATGGGAATTTGTCGAGCATCTTTAATGGATTGCAGCAGCGAGAGAGGAACAAAGAGACAGAGAAAGAGATCAAGTTATTCATATATGGGCAAGAAAGTCTGTCTTTATGCATTCTTATATCTCGAGAACATCACAATTTATCAACTGAAGAAAATTCGCAGTCATTTAATCCAGAATGGTGTAACACAAATACAGCACGGAAACTGCCATAAAGTGCCACATAATGCATTTTCATTGGACTTATACAAGCGCGTTGAGACATTCTTACGAAATTATCTCAAGACAAATAAGCAGCATTCAAGCAAGTCAGTCATTTTAAATGAGCCACTTTCGAAAGTCTATCAAGACTACAAAAATGGGGAAAAAGACACAAAAGTTATGGGATATACGACATTTAGATCTTTCTTTCGGAAACAATTTCCTCATGTCAAGCTTTCTAATCAAATATCAAAGCCACAGAGTTCATTGAGTGACACCCGAACAGCATTAACAACATCTAAAGACATTTGTCAAGAAATTGAACTTATTGATGGTGAAGAAGAACATCTCATTGAAGAGAATGACGACGAAGAAGAAAACGAGCAGCAGATTATATTCGCAAATACTACTGATGACTTAATTTACTACGATCATTCTGAGCTATCGCACGAAGAAATTGTGAATTGACGTATTTCTTGCACTCTCGCTTATATTCTCTCGCCTCATTCACTTTAAGAGCGTTATTTTATGAGAGAAGAATCAATCAGATTGGGATAGACTGCAACTTTTATGGAAAACAGAGTGAATTTTGGTTTAACGGCTTTTTGAGATTAGAATTTTAACCGTTTTTTGAGATTTAAATATTAACCGTTTTAAATATATAAAAATGTCGTTGCTTTTTCGTTAAGTTTTCAAACTTCAAAAAACCATTGCATTTCAAATTTTCGCGAAACGTTAAATTTTTAAAATAATGATTTTGATGCATTCACAAAATACGCTTAAACCACTTGAATTTAGAATCTAATTTGAGTTTCTTATTTTTTAAGTACTCAATGTCGGGTATTTAATTTCAATGACTTTCAGAAGTATTAGTATCGATGCCAATTTGAAGTGTATTATGGCAGATCAATTTTATTGAATGAATGAACTTTATTCTCGTTGGACATTGTAGATTCGGATAAATGCTTAAAGCCCTGCCAAAGAACACTCATATTAAAATTGAGAATTACGATAATTCATAAAAATTTATCTCTCAGTCGAGTTTTCTTTCTTCTCTTAATCGCCACAGTCTGTTATTATTTATTTTTCGCTATTTATGTAACAAATCAATGAATTTGTTTTGATTTGAAATTGGCAAAGCAGGAAAATTCTATGAAATAAAAGTGAAATTATTACTTTTGTATTACTTTCCGTGTACGTTTTTTTGTGACCGGTTAATTCTGATTAATATTATTTTTCAGACCCCAATTCGTCAGTTTTGATTGGATGATGGAGCCAACAAAATAATATTTTCTGTTACTTATCTTTCCATTATGTTTTGTGTTTTGATAAAGAAGTGACTAACAATGTATTATTTTTCTCTTTTCGGTATGACAGAAAAGTATGTTGACTTCTCGGACCCATCACAATCAGAGAATAGACATTCTTATCAACAACAGATGTCAGTTAACAGTGCAACATCGGTGCAAACCGTAATTTTCAATAATTCATCGCTGACGGGAAATGATTTAATAGCTCAAATGAATGCATCAGAGAGTTTATCATCAATTTTAACTAGATCAAGTGGGAGTAGTCATAAGCATAAGACATTAAGTGTTAGTTCGGCTGAGGAGCCATTGCATATATCAGATGTTGCTGATTTGCTGCACCAACAGTATGCCATCATTACAGGTGATTTTTTTAACGTATTATTTTGAAACAAAGTTTTGTCATCTCAGAATTTGGAAACCGTTAAAATTTGAATTTTTTGAAATCGTTAAAATTTAAAAGTTTGAAATCCGTTATAAGTTTAAATCTTTTCCAACCGCTAAAACTTTCATTCTTTTTTCTAGGTGGAAGATCCATGGAAGGATCGCCAATAATAACCTTTCCGGACCATAATAGTTTCCATTTATTAAATGATAGAGATTATCAGAGATTAATACAGTATTTAGTGGGAGTAACAAGTTTACAAGATGCCGATCTCGGATTTCATTTGATAATCGATCGTCGTAAGCAGTCGTGGGCGTCAGTCAAGTCAGTATTAGCGAGGATCTCATCGTATTTTCCAGGAATTGTACAATGCGTTTATGTGATAAGGCCATCAGGCTTCCTACAAAAAGCTATTTCAGAAGTTAGTTCAAAGTTCTTTAAAGACGAATTTCGCTTCAAAATGATTATCTGCGCTCAAATCGATGAGCTTCATCACTTTATACATAAATCACAATTAACAATGGACTTGGCTGGTGATTTATTCTATTCGCATCATGAATGGATTCAACAGAGAATTGTGAGTAGAATTTTATGTCGCGCATGTATGTGTAAGCATGTGAATAATCTCTGTGTGATAAAACATTTTCCATTGACTCATTTTACTTAATAATATTAATTTTTCTATATTACAGTCGCTGGAGAATTTTTCTGCTCAAACAACACTTGTTGCTCACCATTTAGAGATCTTTATGCGAACAATTCACGATACAGAATTTCCAAATTCCACAGAATCAACAGAAGCGCTATTGGTTGAGCAAGGTATCGAGTATACAAAATTAAAGGTATATCCATCAAATAGCATTAAGCAAATCCCCAAATAATCAGCATTTAAATTCATTTTTCAGGATGAGATTCTGCAAGTAGGACAGAAGGGTGAAGAATTGCTAGCAGAAATAAGAAGAAAAGCTGAATTATGTGTGGATCGAGTGGGGAATTTAAGTTCAATAGAACGGTTCGTTAAAAGTTTTTCAATTGCTTACTGCTTAACGTACACTAACACTTGTCTTAATCAATCAAAATCTATCGTGTATTATTCCTTTAGTGCGCATTAGATGTTATTTTATGTTTGACAGTGCATTTTCCCAAGAAGATGGGGGTGGGGTGAGGTGTCAATAGACTGACATCATTTTACTGTTAATTTTTGGACATTTTGACCGTTATTTTTTTGAAAACTGGTTTTTGGCTGTTAATTTTCAAACAATTTGTGACAGTTTTATTTAAATTAAATTAATTCAAAACTTACAATCCAAAAACATTTATGATGGGAAGATGCGCTCGTGCTGGTCCCAATCGACCACATTTACTAACTCGTTTAATTTCGCTATGTAGCTCTGCACTGTTTGGAATCATACCGTATTATGAGTTGACTTTCGTTCCTTCATCACATTTTCTCACAGCCTCTAATTTTTTTCTGCTGTTCTATAATTTATTAGCTTTTAATTTTTTTGAGTAAATATTTTTCAGTTTCAATAGTCATTATAGAGAGATTTATGTGAACCTCATCAGTTTTTAGTTCTGCCTTGATAAGCTTATTAGTATATGATTTATTTCTCATTTTATTCTACATTATTGGATATCATAGAACTTTTTCAGTTAAATTTCCTTAAATGTTAAGTCACACAAATCACTTCTGATCACGACAACATAATTGACATTAAAAAATGTTTCTGTTAAGACCAATGGTGGTAAAACATTACAGACATAAAACACTGCCGTAAGTAGAGTCGTTCTAGAAACAAAGAATCGATTAGTCATGAAATTTTTGATTTTTTATAATTCTCTCGCAATTGCACTTACACAATGTACACTAAATACATATCTCATTTTTCCATAGTAGTGCATAAATAATGTATCAAAATAATCATCAAGTGCTAAGAACTTGTTTCGATAAAAAAAAAATCATTGAAAATTCTATTTAATTAAAATCACAGTGCAGAGATCCGCAGCATTTTAAATTTGTTTTTCTTTCATAAATATTTGATTGATTTTAACTAGTCGCGATACCTCCAGATTAATTGTACAATTGCAAGAGACGGAAATGAGGTTCGATCATTTCTATGAAGAGCACACGAAAGAACTTAGGATTTGCTTAGAGTTGCGACGTTTTGAGCAGGACTTTAGGGAACTTCAGGTATGCTATCTAATAACTATACTCCCATTTATGCCTATAAATAATCCATCATGTTCCTTTTCAGACCAAATTCGATAGCTATTTAAAGATAATGAACGAAATGACAGAGATTGGTGATACGGTCGTAAGAATCGACCAATTAATTCAAGAGACACATTCATTCCGGCAATCGTGTGATGAGGATGTTGAGAGGGCATCGAGTGTGATAGAGAATGGGAGGTCCATTATCGAAAATAATGATAAAATCTCCTCAAAGGATACCGTTGAGCCAAAATGTAATGAACTGAATCGTATGTTGGAAATGTTTAATGAGAAAGTATCAAAGCGTGTAGAGACATTAACGAATGCTCATCGACTAATGGAGCGAGTCGAGAAGGCTAATGAATGGTGTGCCAAAGGAATTGATTTACTTGCGTCACAAAGGATTGAGAATATGTCACTGTCGTCTGATATTGCTGAGCAGAAGTTGCAAGACATTTTAGCTTTTGTTGAATCAGCAAAAGATTTTGAGCTTTCTAGTCTTAAAGACCTTAAGAGCTGTCAAGAAGAAAACACAACTTCACTCGAAACGATTATATTGTCTCAAGTAAGTAACAATGCTCCCGAGATACCGAAAATGTTAATGAGAAAATTGAAATGCAAAGCCAATTTCTTAATCTCCAATAAGTTCCTATTAGGGGATATTCATAAATAATGTCAATGAAGAAATGGAGGTTCAAGCCCCCCTCCATTTGTCTCTAAAATGACGATGCTTATGAAGGTGTCACATAGCTTTAAACCAAGCAATATTCACTTTGCCGTTGCTTCATATTCTCATCTTTAAAGATTAGACATCATTTAACAACGACCCCTAATGTCTTCTGATGAATGCTCAAAGAAAAACTCAAAGGAGCTTTTCTATGCTCGATTTATGACATTTTCTTTGTTAAACTTTCGAGAATTTTTTAAGATTTATGAAATTCTGATTGAATTTTATAATTTGCTATTTAGCATATTTTCCGAATTTAAGTTCCAAAATGGGTTATTGTCTACACCAAAAATCTTACTCATTTATGCCTTACAAAAGTCCCCAAACAAGCCTATTAGCTTCTCTAGAGCAAGATTAAACAGCTGGCATGCGAAAATAATTTTGTGAAATTTTCAATAACAATTCAAGTATACACATCTTCCATGAATCACCCAAGCTGGATTAAGATACAAAGTATCATAATTTAGATTAAAGAAATTTAATCAAAGCGTCGTAGCGAACAATCATGCCTAAATTAATTCTTATTCATTGATAATGGATAAATTGAATTTCACATTTTCTATTTGACTTGTCTTGAAGAATTCAGATCAATGGGCAGTGACAATTGTCTGAAAAGTTTCCATAAGTAAATTGAATTGTTGACCGAATTTTCATCAAAAATTTGAGATTTTGCAGCTATTCATTAATTATTAATCACTCATTGTAGTAAAATTGTTCATTGACAAAACGATATTGTCTTCTTTTCATTTCTTATTCATTATTATGGATTTGAATCATTTTTGAAATTTATGATTTCATCGGAAGTTTTCTATAAACTTTAAGTTTGTTTATTAATCATAAATCAGAGATGGTAAAATAATGATCAAGACGACTGCATTTGTTTAGTGATACTCAAGCGTATGTTTGGAGATTAAAATGCTTTTTGGATGCATAAATGGAGTTATTCATAAATGTTGTGCATCAAGATATACAAAGAGGTATCTAGAATTGGGCTGGGATGAAACGAGCTGGTGTTAGCTGTTCTAAAGAACTTTGTTTGTTTTATTGGAACCCTTAATTCAAGCCATGGATAGAAAGAATCCGTGTGACTAATTCCACATTTTTTAAAAGACCTCATTTCCGAATAACCCCCAAAACAGAACTTATAATTGAAAAAGATTGTTCTATCTAAAATTATTGCTTATATTCCGCATAAAAGCTGCCTATGGATAGAATTTCTATCTTCTAGCTTCTTTTTCGGAATCAATAACAATAAATTTAAATTAGCCTGGCAATTTTACTTACCTTAGATTTGTTTTTGAGCACACCCAAGTTTTGCGGAGTATATCATTGATATATTGCTGAAAATTTATTAGCTTTTCTGAATGAAATTTATTGTGATTGAGAAAATTGGGTTTTTTGAGATCTATTTTCTGTCTAGAGCAACTTGATGTTTTCATAGAAAATTTCTTAAATTTTGGAGGTTCTTATGTGGTTTTTACATTCTTCAACAGTCACACAGGCTATATTAGTGTTACTAACTTAGTTCTTATTGGTCTTCAAAATAGATTTACTGAAATTATAAAATTTCGATTCCTTTGCATTACCTAACCCCTAAATGAGCAACTTTCAAGACAAATCCTTTAAAAATGATTAAATTTCAATCAAAATCACATCAAAACATCCTTCCTTCCAACACTGAATTTATAGTCATCGCATTATGATTTTTAAAATTTATATTATTATTTTTAAATCTTCTTTAGTCTTTGCTGAAGCTTACAAAATAAAAGGATTAAACTTGACTTTCTCCTTTTAAAATAACAAATTTTAATCTCATTTAAAGTCAACGGTATCACTTGCACCGTCTTTCTATTTATCTTTAGAAAATCATTAAAAAGTTTTTTAAAATATTTGAAATAGAAAAAGTTGCGGCAACTCATCGTCTTGAATATCTAGTAGACAAGATTCTGATAAAAAGGGTTTGTTTGTAAAGGATGTGTATGAGTAACTTTAACAAGCTTTTGGACATTGCTTTTGGACTCTGGTTTTCCTTCTTGGTCTAGACCTTCTTCCCTTCCGATCCCTTAAATAAAGATGCATGAACATTCATTTCCATGAACTCTAAAAGAACTATAACTTAAGAATATACTTCACGCCATTACTGAACAGTTCCTTAAAAACTTCTTTATTGAACAACTTGACTATATGATTTATGAAGCTTGTACAGCTTCAAAATTGTATTTTAAAAAACTTTTGATAAGAAAAATTTCTTATTCCAACACTCAGGTTCTACAGCGAATAGATGACGTTACTCTCATGTGCGATAAGCGAATTGCAACGTTAAAGAAGTCAGCATGCAAACCAGCACGTCCAGTACAAAGTGTTCAACCAGAGCCGGCTGTTCCTCTACAACCAAATTCAGGTGCACCAAACTTATTAAGAGGCCGTAAAAATTCAGGACAGAGGGTGAGTGACCTACTACTTTTTTCATTAAATTCATTAATATTAAATTGAAGTCGGAATAGCTAAAGAAATTGTGTCTGGAATTGCGTAACAATTCTTTTTAGTTTTTGGTTTCCTTTTATAAAATTACTTTTTGATGCTGTAATGTTTTTATAAACAGACCCACGACGTAATATTGTGTAATCTATCATCAAAAATGAGGTGAAGAACAATGAAAAGAAATTTTCTCAAAATTGCATTGTGTCGTCGTTTCTGAGATTCACATCTTGTCTTTTCACTTTCTTCCTTGATATCACTAAAGTATGAAATGGAGTACATTGAATTGTGTCATCGTTGACATTATACTAAATTATTTTGCAAACTTTATTACTTATAAGCTGTCAATCAATCATCTGAACGAGCTTTAATCATAACCGTTTGAGGGTTTTGTGTTGAGTTTATGTTTGAACATATTGCTTCTTGATTTCATTGGGACTTTGTTGTGGTTTAGAACTAAAAAGAGAAGTATGAAACAAACATTTTTAAGGCGTTGACAGATTTTGTAGTTTTGAAACTTTTTTGGGGGTTGAATCATGATTTGGATGAATGAATATAGCTCAGTGATTCTTAAGCTATGCTTAACGAAAAGCTACTGTTCTGCTAGAGAATCTTAGGTGTGGCAGGAGTAGCTGTCACTTGATTGTGGGTTAATTGAAGATTTATTGCTACAAGACCTGAAAACTTTCATTCTTCAATTTCCTAGAGAAGAATGCCTATGATTTCGCTGTACATCTGAACATTTTTTTTTTTTTTTTTTTTTTTATAAATTGATTCTTTATTGTATTTTAGTTTAAAACTGTTAAATACATTAGATTATTATTATTTATGTAAAGTGGATTTAATTATTTATGCATCATACCACAATTGCTTTATATATAAATGTTCTCTTAATCGTGTTTTAAAGAGATTAAGGCTTACAAATTTCTTAATTTCTGCTGGGATGACATTAAAATCCAGATAAGCTCTTATAAAAAAATTTTGACTGCCTAACTGGGTTGCTGTCGTTGGTACAACTATATTATTTGCATTTCTGGTTGCGTGTCTATGTCTTTCAAAAGCATACTGTATTGGGAAATTTAATTTAGCGGAGTTATTAATCATTTTAAAAACTAAGATTGATGATGACAATTGACATTGAAGGGAGACAGGTAGGATTTTTTCTGAATAAAGTTCAGATCTACTACATAGCCTATCTTTACAAAAAACGATTCTCAAGGCTTTACGTTGTACAATTTCGATGGCATCCATCATATACTTTGGTGTAGTTGACCAAATACAATTCATGTAGCTCAATCGGGAGTGTATATATGCAAAATAGAGAAGAAGAGCAGTCTGATCCGATATTAAGCAACGAATTCTTTTAAGTGCAAACATGAAAGAAATAATTTTTTTTTGAAGCTGATAAATATGGAAAGTAAATGAAAGAGTCTCGTCGATTTCTAGTCCTAACAATTTAGTGTGTTCTACTCGTTCTATTAATCTGCCATTGAAACGTATATTCAGAGCTAATTCATAGAAGTTTTCATGCCGTCGTTTGTTATGGAACATTACGTATTTAGATTTACTTTCGTTTGCTAAGAGATAGTGGAAACGCAGCCACAACGATATTCTCGAGAGGTCTTCCTCTAGATTTTTTTTAAGAACCGTAGGTGATTTAGCTGTAGTAACCAAAGAAATGTCATCACAATAAAGAGATGTAATGGGATGAAGTCGAATGTAATGGGATCGAGGAAATGCTATTAATGTAAACATTGAATAAGGTTCCTGACAAAACACCACCTTGAGCAACTCCGAAATCTACAATCTCTACACTACTTAAACAATTATCTATCTTTACGAATTGCACGCGATTTTGAAAGTAGGACACAAAAATTGAAAGAAAAGCTGTGGGAATTTTAAGTTTTTTGAGCTTATTAATCAGAATTGAGTGAATGACGCAGTCAAATGCAGCTGATAGATCCAGACATGTAAGAGATGTAGCATATCCAATATCGACACCCTTATAAACATCACTCAAAATATGCGCAACGGCTAATTCCGTATTTGATGACTTTGTGTAACCAAACTGGTGTGCTGATATAATTTTATTAGCTTCAAGATGGTCTTCTAACCGTCGTTTTAAAACGTACTCAAAAATTTTCGAGAAAACTGGCAAGATTGTAATCGGTCTATAATTTGAAACATCTGTCTTGCTTCCATTCTTATGAATAGGACTCACGATACCTACTTTAAGGCAGTCCGGAAAGTTACTTGTTTTAATGGAGTCATTAATGAGAAAGGCGAGGTTTTTAACAAGACTTTTTTTATGCAGTTTTGCAAAACTATTGGATATTCCATACGTGTCAATAGCTTTTGAATTAGATAGACCATCAATTATTAAAGATATTTCATCTTCAGTGCAATTTGGATTTAAGAAAGGAGAAGTAATGTCATATTGCTCATATGAATGAAAATTATGAAAATCAACATCATCAACACTGCGAGATGAAATAATATTACGAATTTTTTGAATGAAGAAAGAGTTAAAGATGTTGGCTATTGATTTTTTATCCGAAACTGGAATTCCATTATTTAAGATTAGATCGCACGCTGACTTTGAGCTATATGAATTTTGTAATAGAGACTTAAACTGGGACCATAATTTATGCGCATCATTGGAATTTGACTGAAAATAATTATTTAGATACTCTTTTTTTAAAGTTTTAATCTTATTCGATATCAGGTTTCTATAGAACTTATATTGATCAATTGCATAAATATAATGAGGATACTTTGATTTAATTTTGTGGTAGTTATTACGTATGGAAATCAAAATTAAAATCTCTTGATTTATGTATGGCTTTCTGATTGAGACTTTTTTCTTTAAAATTATGCTATTTTTATCGATGATTCCTTTTATGTCTTCTAAAAAAGATTTAAAATTGCTCGGAGAAAGATTAGCAAGTAATTCACTATCAACAATGGCTTTATGATTTATTATTTTATAAGAGAGATCCTCTTTTGTAATATCAAGCTTAACCTTCTCCTTGTTTATTGCGAGAACTATTGATTTGTGGTCAGCAAACCTTTGAAAGAGACAAAATGAAAATGATATATTTTGATGATATAAATGGAGATCAGTAAGAGCATGATCGAGTATTGAATGAGCGTTAGTTGTTGAATTTATTCTTGTAGCGAAAGCATCACTTACATTATTGAGCAAGGTGAAACCATTTAACCCAAAGGCATTTTCATATTTACAAATATTTTCCGTTTGCTTAAGTATATTGAAATTAAAATCACCAAAAATCATAGCATTTGAATTATTTGATAAGATTTCATCAAATTTTTCGATGAAATGTATACCATTTAAATCTGATGGGTTATTCGGTTGTCTATAGAAAGCCATAACTTTAAATTTTCATTATATACGAAATACCAGGGAGTCGCGGCTCAAAGGTTGCAAACTCCTGCTTAACTATATGGCTATACTTGTTCGAGACATCTTGAGAATCTTTCAAACCTGACAGTATTGCAAAATAATTTAAAACTACATTTTGGGATATAAAAAAAATTTATCTGAGACTAGGGTGGAGTGCCCCGGGTAGCTTTAAAAACTGATCCCAGATAAAGCTTGATTCCAATTTGATTTGGTGTGGAAATATCCATAAACTGTCACAACGACACAGATATTCTTGGTTTGAAAACTTGATGAACTGATACTGGATTCAGGTTTAAAAAAATTTGAGCTCACAATTTCCAATCTTTAACATCTAGTATGCATCATTAGATCCATACGAACATCAAAAATAATAAAGGAACAAATTATTTTAAAAAACCTTTGAAAATAATTTTAATTTCCCACTCGACTTTGATCAATCGTGACTAGAATCTTAAATCAGCATGCCTCAATATTCTCAGAAAAAAATGCTCATCCCTTTGATAATTTGATACTAATAACTTCATACCAAGAGTTGTAAAACAAACATCATAAAGATTGCTGCTTAGATATGCTTTCAGCATAGTTCACAACAAGCCAAACATCTGGTAAATCTGCAATCTATCAAAAAAGTTTATGACTTTATAGTTCATAGCTAGTGAATGGTGGAAATCATAGATCATGAGCGTCTACTTTCGAGAAGTAAAAAAAAACGTAGTAAAAAGGGAAATGACATTGCTTTCATAGCTTCATGTCTGTGGTTCCCCCATTAGATTATCTGGACATGATTTTTAAATTAAAAAAAATACCAGAAGAAGTAAAAGACAATAGAACTTAATTAAAACACACTAAAGTGCTGGTTTAGTATGCAGAAGCTCATAGAAAAACAAACAAAAGTATTTTAAGAAGCAGAGCAACAGAAAACTTTTAATTTATTCATTTCTGATAAAAAAAAAGTTGTGTTATGTCCATAAAATTGCATAAGATAATGATGAAAAATAGTCTTTGGATTAACCCTAAAGTCACCAACTTCCTTATGGCTTTTTATTTACAAACAATTCTGGTTATGGACCTTGTGTAACTTTAATTGCTTCTTCAATTCAAATTTGTCGTTTTTATTAGATAAATTATATTTATGTAAGATGTTGTTGCTGCCACCGAGCGCTGCAGTTGGACTTGGAAGGTTGCCATCTCGTCGCTATGCTAGGCGTACAACTCTTCTCTTAATTTATGGACCATTTAATCATAAACCAGCTAGCTAAAGTCCACAATATATTAGCAATTATTTGCAACCTATTTTGGCTCAGTACTTGAGTCTTTCCTGTTCAATGATGCGGAACTGACCAACAAAATTTGAATTAACTTTGATGCATCTTGTTGATCATTTCGATCAGTTCCGAACCCATGATGCTTTCTAATGCATCGATAAGATATTTGTGACTGACCTCCGAAATCTTAATATACCGCAGATAATTGTTTGAGTATCACTGCAGATCCTGTAGAAATATCTCAAAAAGTCTGTGTCATAGTAATGCACTGTGCTACT